GTAATTTATAGAGGACAGTTAGGGCTCTCTATTTGAAAAATTAGTTTTGAAATTCGTTGAGTTACTGAGAAGTTATACTACTAATATTGAGGTAACGCACTAACATTTTGTTTTCTGACCATTTGTTCTTGTTGACTTACTACTTTCTTTCATACTTGCTAGGATAGAGAAAGCTCAGTTTTCTTTCATTTTCGAGGTATTACGAATTTTCGCGTTGAAATACAAACATGGCTAACTGAGTCTCTCTGAGCTTTAGAATACCAGTCGTCAAAAAAAGAACATCTTTCATATAGTTCATCAGGATCTTCTAATATATGCATAAAGTACAAGATGCAACTTCACAAGTTTTTCTACTGTTTCTCTGAAGATAATAATGAGCTCTTTACTTTCTACTTTTGAACCAAAGTTCTCACAGAAAAGAACAAGAGCCTTTGAATTTAAACTATCTAGATAGCCCAGGAATGACACTATCTCGATATATTTTGCATCAATTGATTTTATACTTGGTGTTCATCAGGGAAAAACATATGTTACTTCTGCATGTTCACAACAGGGTTCTTTTCTGCAAGTGCCAGTTTCTTAAAGTTTCGGTGAATCCGAAGACGATGAAGATTTCTAGCCAGAAGCAGCTTTGCACAGAACAGCCGGATCTATCTACTACAAAAATTCTTTCTCAAAAGTATCATGCTATTTTCGTGATATAATCTTAATATTCACGAAATAAACTCGTACTTTCTTGGGAATTTCCATTCTTAAAGATCTAATTAATTCTTCTATCTTTGCAACAAAAGTGTCTTTTGCCGTTTTTTCGGTCCTTGAAGCTTTTCGAACGAAATATTACTATAAAATAAGTTAATATTTAGTTAGTTTTGTTTGTTTTATTATTAACGTAACATATTTCTTAAAATGCTATAAGTTATTGATTATATATGAAATGCAAAACCTCTAGGATCAATTCGTTATCGAGTTCTGAAGGTCCTTTTTAAACAAAATACTATTAAGGTCGATTTTTACTGTAATCTTTTATTACTTTTCTGGGACTGGAAGAATAACTGGATCATCATCAATATAGCGATAACATTAGGATCTGCGTCATGCGCAAAAACTGAGTATTGCCTATCATGAAGTCAAAAAAACATAATACGCTAAAATGTTGGTTGCGTGAGTGAGTTACTAATTTTTTTATTAACAGAAAGGAATAACCGAAAAGTAAGTCGACCGTTGGATAGCTCGTGAAACGTTCACGAAGGATCCTGAACGGTAGGAACAAATTTTTTGTGATTGCGGTATGAAATGAGCTAAGAGTCCTTTTTGGTAACGCACTCACGCCAGAGTTTATCAAGTTTTAAGATAACCGTCATGTTCTTCCAAAAATCGTGGATCAGATGAACGTTGTATGAGAAGAAAGCCCTAACTTCGTACACTCAGAATATATATCACTATTTAATATTCAGTTGCGTTTTCACCGATTTTCCATCATTTTCTTTGTATGTACGAAAACGGCAAGAATTTTTGAAAAACACACTAAGCCTGTTTTGTACATAGGTTTTTCAGCTGTGCGAAGAAAAGATAAAATGAAGTACGTTTCTTAATACAGCAAGATGTGCGCTATAACATGGTGTTATTAGCTTCTGGAAATAATCAGCTTCTACTTTAATCACTCTGGTCGACCCGTTTGTCGGACAAGCTCTTTTCTAAAGTCAATCATACAATGTTTAACTAAACTGAATAGTCTCGTTGGTCATATCAGCAGACGTAGTTCTCGTCATTTTCCGAATCAGTTATTTGCATTAGTAAATTATCGTATTTATGAGCGTTATTCCATCACAAAAACATTTTGTGTAATTCGTTTTCAGGGTTCAATAAGAAATTTTCGATTAAGTGGTCTAATAATACTTTTTAATGCTCTATCAGACGAACAGTTGACTTTATTTTAAACCGTCAAGTTTTGTTGAATAAGTGTGACGGAATCACCATCGGATGAGTATTGTTTTTTGTTTTTTGTATGAATACAATAGATATTGTCTTTCTCAAATGTTATCTTTCCAGATTGATATTTTCGTGTGCAGAAGAGATTTAAAGATCTCGATGACTAGTTTATAACAGAGATGTTGATGGCTGATTTTTTTGACCCGACCTGCAAAACCCGAGCCGATGGAAAGGTTGAATGATTTTTCTTTCGACCTGCCGGCTACCCAACGGGTTGAAGATTTATCAACCCGTCGCGGGCTAACCCGCAGGTTAATGCAAACGTTACTACTATAGTTTTTACTTGAAAATTCATAAGTTCTTTTTACTGACGTATTCAGATTTTCATGTATTAGTGAAATTGAGGTTTTTATAATTTGAATATTATCTTTTATTTCTCATCATATCTATAAGTACTCAAAAATTTCAATTAAATTTCAAGACAAGAAGTAGTAAAGAAAAAGTTGTAATATATAATAATGGATAAAATATTAATATAACAGATACTATTTCAGGTGTTTTGGATGTGATTTTTGTTCTCACCAATATCGTATAATCGAAGTTAAAAAGAAAAATGTGTGCTTAGGAAATAATGCTAAAGTTCTGTTATAGTTTTTAATTTGATATATTGCTGTGATAGAATATCGTATACCTCACTATTTGTTGCTTCATTAGGTATAGTGTAAACTGCCTAGTGCGAAAAATCATCCAAGAACTTGATTGAAATTTTCTTCAAAGATTAGATATATTTCGGAATAAAACATTTTAGAACACTCTTTCGAAGCTGTTGTCTTAACTTTTGTTTATCAAAATACGTTTCTTTAAGCTTTTCCATTATCGATTCCCAAATTTTTCATACACCATGTATATACATTTGTCCATTACAATAAAGGCTTTCGTTTAGGGTTAAAATGATTGATCTAGCACATAAGAGAATAGATGACAGACGACGAGATTAAAAAAAAAACTTCGATTTTTTAGCTTTGGAATTACAAATTTTAAAAATGTATGGCTGAATTCTCACGTAGAAAATTTCTATTTTGTTCAAAAAAATATCATTTATTAGAGGGCTCAATAGTCTTCTTTTCTCATATTAAATTTATAGTTTCTGGCAACCTATCTTTCGGAACAGACTTCATTTCTTCAACTGTAATTACCAAAAGTGAAAACATTGATATCGGAAGATATAGTGAAAGCGTTTATTTTAATCTTTGAAAAATAAATGCTATCTTTTTTTTGTACAGCAACAATACTATATACCGGGTGTCCCAAAAGTCCCTTCCACTTAAATTTTTTGTATATCTTTGCTATTTAATTTCACTTGATCAACTATTGTTTTTCTAAATGATAGGTAGATACACCGAGTTTTTATTTATAAAGACAAACTTCAGAAGTACTGCTCAAAGCTAAGACTTAGAATCGAAATACAAAAATGTAGCCTATTTTATATTCCCAGAAAAACATTACGCAAAATTCCNAAAAATAATGAATATGATTGTGTGCATTGAGATAATTAAAACGAAAAATGAAAGAGAAGTTAGGCGCCATTCTTTCTCTTTGAATGTAAGACAGCTGTGATACAGCTGTTTATACATAATGAATCATATAGATAATTAAACGATCAATCGAAATTGTCCTCTAGAAAAATGTTCATAGGCTTTCATAGAGTTCTCTTGGCGATGAATTTTACTATGGTACTTTTCAATTTTCTCAGGATATATATCATGTGACTCGTGAAAAAGTAATTTTTCGAATTCGAATGATACAGACAAGTGTCTATGTTCGGTAGTCCGTCCACAAGTCAATCAGAAATGGCTATTTCTATTAACTCGACGATCGAATTTTCGTTTTCTAGAAAGTACCGTTTTTTCGCAGATTCGACAGATTCGTGCTTCGCACCGCATTTCGTATTCGAGTCGAAACTCGAATACCATCTAGTTATTCTTTTTAATTCATTTTTCTTAATTTAACGTTCTTATTATTATAATCATTGAAATAATTGGCAAATAAGTCTGTTTAACATATTCATCATATCTACAGGTGATCTTACGCATTATCATATACACTAATCAATTCACAAACAATCATATTCATTATTTTTCAAAACTATAGCTTAATAAATTTTGCAAAAAAAAATAGAAAATCTTACGCCTGCTATTTTCGACTGCTAATGTCTGTAATGGGAAGGGGAGAGCCGCGAAAACTAGAACTTAAAACTTACATTCACTATTTTCTTCGAAAATATATGTGAGTTCCACAAAACTAACTTTATTTATATATATTTTGACATGTCTTCTAATACCGTTTTTTTCTTAACAATGATGTCAACTGAGTAAAGAAAATTTCGAATGATAGCTCAGATGTTACAAATATACATTTCTATAAAACTATCTTTGTGTAAAGACAATCCGATTCATGAGCGATACGACATTGAAAAATAGCAATAACATTAATAAATGAGCGGCTTTAGAAAGACAAATATTAATATTTTAACAACAGCGTAAAATATCTATATATGATACTTCTTTGTATATCTACAATCTATAGTTTTATAGTTCATTTTAGTTTCTAGAAATTAAATACACAACTCACAAGAGAACAATGATTTTCAACGAAAAACCGCTAAAGAGAACAAACTCAAGCTGTCGCAAAAGCACAACTGTAACATTTTAAAACAAATTGATGAGTCCAATTATAACAAACATGAAAAAGGGGTGAAAACATTTTTTACCATCCTATATCGATATTTGAGTTATTTCATACATTTGTTTCTTTTTTATTCTATTTTTTTCTTTTTACCAAGTACCATTTACAATGTTTCTTTCATTTCTGATCACACTATAATTATCAGTCGGCGTCAACTTGAATCTTTGTAGAAAAATTACTTGGTCGAAAGTCATAATTCTAGCACCAGTTGTGTATTCAATGTATGAAAACTAACGTTCTTCAACTTTACTGTCTCAAAAATTTTTATTTGTTGCATAAATGTTTGTATAAGTAAGAAATAATAACAAATATTTTATGTTCAAATAATGTTTGAAAAACTGAAACGAAAAAAAAATCTTGTAATAGCAGCATGTCTATTTTTAATTTTCATCGTTGGATTATTTCCTTCTGATAATAATATTTCAAACAATAATACCAACTATTTTATTGATACTAACGCAATATTTGATGCCCTAATACAAGCAAGAAGTCTTGAAGCTGAACTTGAGCAAAGATATCAATTAACTGCTATTATACTTCATTGGAAACGTTTATCGCGTGCACAACTAACAGTCCAATACTATCTTAATACAGATTTTTTCAAAGAAATTATTGTTTGGAATAATAATCCACAAATCAATCTTACTGTTAATGAATTTCTAACAAATAATCAATCACACAACTTGGTTCGTATCATTAATTCTAAAGAGAACTTGAAAGATGAAGCAAAATATCGCGCATGTACTGAAGCTAAAACACATGTTTGTTTTTATGCTGATGATGATTGGGATGTATTTCATTATATGAATACACTGATTGCTAGTTTTCGATCAGATCCAAATCTTTTACATTCAGCAACAAATGTAGTCACATATTATAACAATATGCTATGGACATTTATGGATTCTCGAATTGATTTACACACAGGATTTTCGTGGATCGGATGTGGAAGTGTATTTTTACGTGAACATGCTCAACGACATCTTCAATTACTTACAATGAATTTAAAAACTAATCAAGGTATTTATTTTTTTATAAAGAATTGTAATATTACTTATTCTGTATGTAGAGTTATTTGCATTCAGTGATTTATTTTTTTCCATTTGGCTCAATGATATTCCATCACAAATGGTAGTAAATCTTCGTGCGTTACCAACCAATGTTAATGAGACTGACATACCATTTTCATCTACAAATAGTTTTTATGATTTCCAACATACAAGTTCAGTTCTTGCGATCCGTAAACTTGAATATTCACTACGTTTAAATCAATCAAAGAGGTCTATTAGTTTTCCTCGGCAACAGTATCGTCGATTTCCATATTGTGTTAAATCACCTAGTTCAAAAGATGACTTTATATTCTACAGTAATATTTTACCTGTTGATATTGAACATATTCCATTTGATATTACACGAGATGCAGAGAGAGGAACATATCGAAATGTTCCTGGTGGTCCAAATTACACGCATTTTGTCGATTATAATACATTGAAGGCAGTAGATAATGATGAAACAACATGTTGGCGTCCACTAGGATTGGTGAAGAAAGGCGACTTTTTTGCTATTGACTTTTTACGCATACAAACTGATATTATATTTTCACTGACTATTGGACATAGTGAGAAAGTACAAAATAGTCTTAAGATGCGAATATCATTTGACGGTATGTGGTGGTTATCACATGAATCGCTCAAAGGCATCACAACTGACATCAATCGAAAGCCCATTGCAAAATTTAAACGATTAGTTATTGATTCAAGACAATTTCCTCCAGAATTGCAATCATTTCGTTATGTTGCATTCAATGCAACGCATGCTTTGGATGAGGCATTTCAAGTATGTGATGTCCAAAGAATAAAAAGTTCTACGATCAATACCAAATGAAATTGGAATTATATCTTTCAATTTGGTAAAATTTCTCAGTCATGAATATGTTATTGTTGTTATTGAAATAGAAAGATAAATTTAAGAAGAAAATAAATCAGATTACTACATTAAAAAAAGAAAAAATAGACCAATAAAAAAAAACTAGTCGTTTTGACAGTAGCTATCATACAATTAGCACATTGTAAGTATTGGAAATAAGTAAATTTGATGCAAAATATAATCAATACTCAACAAAAGAAAATAATAAATATATTCATGTAATTGAGTGATATTTTCCGCATAAAAAATGTGTTTATTATTTATATCTATTATTATTGAATAAATCATGAGTGTCTATTGTGTTTGAGTTCTTTTATTTGAATGTTACGTTACTAGCGATAACATCACGTATCTATCATATATAAAAGGCGTTTAGATCATCCGCTCTATCTTTAAACTAAAACATTTGAAACTTTAATTTTTTGTCATTCATTTCACATTGAAAGTCATTTGGCTACATGCTTTGTTGGTTTTATCTATCAATAGCTTTAGTAAAGTAGTTTTCTCTATCACATTACGAAACATCCATACTCTTAAATCTAATACCAGTTGTAATCTTAATGAGATATAAAAAAAATTCTGTCATTTTATTTTATAAAGATTTGCAGTTATACAAAGTACAGATATTTTCAATTATGAATTAATCGAATAATCAGTTTTCGTCGTTCAATGTTACTTTCTAACGATTATATAGAAAACGGCTGTCTTCAATGATATGTCATCTTTTAGACATTTGACTTATGCATACAGTGAAACTACAGTAGAAATATTTTATGAATTAACGATATTTCCGTTACTATGTGATACACTTGAATAAAAATATTCGACACAAACGTATATGTTGTAGATAATTACAGCTATGAAATGGTATGATAAATTCTCACCGACTTTTTTCTACTTTTGCTGAAAACATACAACAAAAATATTACAAAGTCAGCAAGATGTTGCATCAATATCTGTATTGAGATTTATAGTAGATTGTTGTTTGTTGTATTATCTCCTTTCTCATTCTGATTTTATGTACCACACGTAAAGAACCGATTATTTTCGATATTATCAAGTTTTTCTTTTTATTGTCTCTTCTTGGAATATTATTTTAGCAAAAAAACAAATTTGATAGTTGATCTTTTTAGAAGGTTTTTATATACGAAGTTTCGCAAATGTCTATTACGACAAATCTTTAATGAATCTTTTTCATCACCTATATTTTCAGATGAATAAACTTTGTTTATGCTCATATATAATAATCCGTTTGTTATTAGGCTTAACAGTGACACAAATTCATGATGAATTAGCTGCTGCTTATATGAACAAGATATTGTTTCATATGAAACAGTTGCTCATTAGATTCATCGATTTTTGAAAGGATGAGAGTCGTTGAAAGATAAACCTTGAATTAATCATTCAATAACCACTATCACTCAACAATATGTGGATCATATTAATGATCTAGTAAATTCTAATCCATATATTAATACTGCTTAAATTGCTAACATCTCAGACATAGTTATCACATAAACTATCGTGACGAATTGTTGAAAATCTTAGTCAAAAATATACATAGGAAACAAACATCGTTAACAACAAACAGCATAAATTTGCGTTCTAAAAATGCAAAACTACATGTGCCAGATACTTTTTGTAAACTTAATTATCTTCAAGACAATAAAATTCAAGTTACGGCTCAACTGGCATGCACGTTAGGCTTTGTTCTAACGAACCTTTGATTGTTCAGTTGTCTGAAACGAAGCCTTGATACATATTAACGTACTGCAAATTTAGGTAATGCAATAACCGATGAGTTCAATTCAAAATCTATTCGGAAATACCAAAACACATTTTAGAAATAGATTGACAGAATAAAACTTAGTATTGAACATTTTGAGAACTATTTCGAACATTTACTAGAAACAGATTAGCACAAGATTTTTTCTATGAATAAATATTTTGAAATTTCGAGAAGTTTTTCACTGACCCATGTAAAACAAAAAAAGACATTTATTAACTACAACATTTGAAACAGGAGAAAAAACCGAAAACGAGTAGGTCAATAGAGATGAATTTTCATTGAAAATAATTATAAAAACTGTAAGTTTTGTTTTATTGAACGTGAGCTCAAGTTTTATTATATCCAAGAATAAGAAGGAAGAATGACAACACTAATCGCATAACAATTAGCATACAACAAAACTAACAGAGAAAAATATATATTTATAGCGATAGCAATATATTACGCATTATATAACACGCAATAGAAATATTACTACGTAATAGAAGTGTTTTTACGTAATAATAACAGAAATGACCAAAGTCGATATCAATGTTTGTTGGACTCTGAGAGAATAGAAACGAATGTAGAGTAGTTAGATGAAAGGAAATGAAAGAACGAACAATTTCCAATCATCGAGAAGAATAAAAGAAACATAAATATAACAGAAAGAGAAGGAGAAAATAAACGAATACTTAGATATTCTCTTTTTTTTAGAAACAACAAATCCTTACAAAAACTAACAAGCAGACGAATAGGCATGAACACTTCAGTATTTATTAGCAATTTAATTTAAATTGCACTTGATTTTGTTTCATTCTCAACTTTAGGCAATGTACATTCACGTCTTTTTTTTCTTAATAATTCATAATGGCTAGAAATAAAACGTCTGGTAAATTTAACTAATTCATTCCAATTTTGATCTTTGATCAATCGATCCATATGTTGATTAACATAAAATTCATCTAGTGCATACATTTCATCTGGAGTCACATAATGATAATTATTTGGTTCGGCTTCTTTATGAAACTGTTGACGTCCATGTTCACGAAGTGTAATTGCAGGTGAAGATGCCCAAAACCCTACTTGTTTTGTTATTCGAACACCTAATTGAGTTGCAAGACAAGTAAGTGCAACATCAGATATTTCGGATGTACGTGGCCAAATATTATCAACAAAATTTGTTAAATGTGGTTGCATTATTTCAAGTCGTTTCATACTCAAGAAAAATCCGGCACCACCAGATGAAAATTCAACTGTAATTTTTGGATTTGTTTTTCCTAGACACCGACGTTTTCCTGAATGGCCTCCAATTAAAATAGGTTTGGTATAGATGCATATATTCTTTATGCTAGCAACAGCATTTTTTATGATCTAGATATAAGGGTAATGAATGGCTTCCTTACAATAAATAAAAGATTACATCGATCTTTCACATGTAACTGATTTAACACTTTGCTAGCCAAACTAAAGAATATTTAGAACAGCTAGATGAATGTACTTACGTCGAAGGCTTTTTAAAGGATTTTTTCTAATCATACCCTAGCTAGTTTTGTCTCATTCTTTTGCTGCGTAGAAATACTAATTTATATATTGTGAAATTAGTTTTGGCATAGGACTTCTGTGCAATTTTAATGGATGCACTATGCAATAGTGCCTGAAAAAAATGACAGTATCATCGAGTGAATCCATATGAAGTCAGGTACTACGTCAGAGATAGAGACTATTGGAAGACTTCATAATTCAGATAATTACATGTATACATATATATATATACATGTAAAGTCAAGTGATATGTAAGAAAAGCTTACCACCGTCGCAACAAACACGTCGACTCTTTTATATTCATCGAAGCAATAATTTGACTGGAGGCAATGTTGTCGTCAACGCAGAATCTCACTCCAGATACACAGCCGGGCGTTTTTTCATCGACGTCTGCTGTTGCACCCGAAAATTTACAATCTTCGGATAATCTCAAGGTAACATTAATTTTGTTTAAGAAACATTTTATTCATGCTTCACAAAATTAACATTCCCAATAGAATACCGAAAATTTTTCCGGTCTGCTCAGTTTGTGAATGTTCTTCAAATTCTGTTCTGATTTATAATCTAGATTTATCTTTTGTTAGTTTCAAAATGTCCGTATTGAATCAATAGATGTTCTAAAATTGTATAAAATTTCAAGATTCAAATAAGTCATTTACAGTCGAAAATATTTCAATACTACATGTAGAAAAACCACTCAGATCTCAGAGCCAAACTAGATGGCATTCGAGTTTCACTCGATTACGAAGCGTATTGCGAAGCACGAACCTCGAGCTTCGAAAAAAACGATGCATAAGAAAAACGATAACTTTTCCACTATTCATTATGAATCGTCTTCCTTCGATACGTTTGTACGTTTTAACCCCCGCCCCCCCCCCCCCTCGTAATAGAAGACCCCGTCTTAATTAATTAAATTTTTGATAATTAGGGACTTTAATTATGGTATTTAAATGAAAATATGCGCAGTTTTCAGGGTGTTGAGTCGGAAATCTTTAAAAAATGAGTTAAAAATTGTATCTGAGCTCTTAAAATCCTAAAAGTCGTCTCAATTTCCTGAAAAACGTTTTTAATTAAAAATTGTGAAAAAAATTGGAACATGATACAAGACCCCCCTGAAAAACTTTTACGTTTGGACCTAATAGAAGATCCGGGGTGTTCTATTGTGGTAGGTGGGGGAAGGAGGATTAGGGCATTCAATCTTTTTCAGTTATCCGTATAATATCGAAAATCTATGTTTCGATCAATCAGCTGATTGAGGTCAGAATAAACGCGAGAAGTACCCATAATAGGATTCATTGCTAGAAGAACTCTATCAACGCCTATCGACAGGTTTCTAAAGAGCTTTGTTGATTAATCGTTTAATTATCGATATTATTAATTATCTAAAATCAGCTGTATCCGCAATTATCTGAGTCATGAACAATGAAAGTTGAAGCTAACGTTTGTTGTTATCTTTATTTTAATTCTCGAAGTTGTTTTAGCTAACAAAAAGATACAAGGAACTGTCCGCTGAGTGATTGTTTCTCCTGCTAGCGAAAATTAAACATGACAAAGGTGACTGCCAAGCCTAGCTACATGATATTACCATACTGTAAACAAAACCCATAAATTATTAATCATATTCGGAGTTTACTTTAGGAAAACGAAATATTATACAGAAAATTGAACAAAATTTACACATAGAGAGATAATAACCTCTCGTATGTTGTTTCAATGAGCACAAGACATTCTAGCCAACATTCGTCGGAATTCATTTTTTCCAAATATCTGTTCGGGAATAGTTATACAGATCGACCTATTATTAAAATCCCGTTCATAGTACGATAGTCTAAGTCAGATTCGATCATTTTTACTTAGAGGTGGACATCATCTCTATTTTGGTCAATGCTTGTTGTGACGTTCTCGACGAGCTTCGTCATGGGCGTCCATACTGGTGGGCCTAATCTTTACAATGGAGTAAGTTGTTGTTTGAATCTATTTATAATTCTATTTGTGCACTAATAATGTTCTCAGTTCATCATTTCCTGGTTGCAAGGTTATCCATTTCCTTGTCAAAAAGACGGTAGTACAGCTAGATGGATAGCACGTGTGTGGTGGAATTGCAATTACGTCAATATTTCGTCGTATAACAAAACAGGTTACTATTATTTACCTGCTACACCAACTAAATATCAGTTCACTAAAAATTTTGTGGATTCGCTTCATGGTATCGTCTGGGTTATTGGAGCTGTAGTTGGCAGTTTTACTGCACAATTTTGGTATACATTTTTGACAAGGTTAGTCCTAATCATAGCAGGATTGTTCGAAATTTTGATTTATTCATTTTCTTTCTAGACGTGATACGATTTTTATCAATATGCTCTTTCAAGTGATAGCATCAGTTTTGATGATTATTCCTCTTGAAATCTATCACGGTTACGATCAAGGTGAACCGAATCAGATTTCAATCAGAAATGCTCTTCAAAACAAAGATGTGGCCATTACCCTTTTCTACATATCACGTTTTCTTTCTGGTTGGGCTGCAGGTAAGGAATAATATCCTGTCGGTGTATCATGACTCAGATCATGAGTATCGTTATCCATTCAAATCAAACTGGTTTACTTACCAGCAGAGACAAAAAATGATTGATACTACCTAGAACGATTTCATCATAATCTGATTGCAATGTAGAAAACTGATGGTCTTAAATTCTATATGAAAGTTTTGCGTACTTGTAGAATCAATTAGAAGGCGGATTCATCGAGAACTTTTCAATTCAAATAGAATCGGTTAACTGAAAATTCTTGACGTTGAATAATCATCATTTATATTTGAATATCCCTTACGAGACAAGAATTGAATATGCTAATCTTTGATGTGTTAGGAATGAGCTGCGTGGCAACGACAATCTATCTAATTGAAATCAGTCCTCGAATGATGCGTGGCAAAGTAGTGACATATCATCAATTGTTCATCGTTATTGGCATTCTCGTAGGACAGATTGTTAGTTTTCCTTGGTTACTCGGTCAACACAAGTGAGTTTTGTGATATGACTATGAATTATTTTTGCCTCATACTTTAGTAAATGGCATTGGGGTATGGCATGGGTGGGCATCTTCCCGTTAGTTGGATGTTTTCTGATTTGGAAGTTACCTGAAAGTCCACGATGGTTTGTACAAGAGCGCATGCGAGCCGAAGCCCTTCAATCGTTACAAACTCTTCGTGAGACCAATGAAGTGCACATGGAGCTCGCCGAAATCGAACGAGAAGAAGCAACAGTGAATATTCAAGATCTCTCATTAGTTCGATTATTCACTTCATCTCGATTTCGTTTGCCACTATTAACCAGCGTGATTCTCAGCGCTGCTGCACAATTTTCTGGTATCAACTCGGTGAATATTATGCAAGATGTAAACTAAGAATTGATGAAAACATTATTGGTTTTTAGGTATTTTTCTATTCGAATGGAACATTCTCGAGCATGGACTTTGTCGCGGACAAAGTTTATTGGAGTACTTTGGCTACCGGTCTGTCCAATTTGATTGCAATGATTGTATTAATCAGATTGATCGAATCATATGGTCGACGTCTTCTGATTCTTTATCCACTTATATTAATTTTCATTGTTATGATGTTGCTTTGTGTATTTATTCAAGTTAATCCTAGTATGTTTTCTCTTTTTCACGTTTGATATTTGCAACCATTTTACCACGCTCAATTGAGCGAGATTGGCAGGCTGAACTCTTTTTCTCATGTTACTCTTCATTGCTTTGTTTGCTATTGGACTCGGTCCACTACCATACATATATCCAAATGAAGTATTCACGATTGGAGTGCGACCTATGGGTCAATCTATTGCGATGCTTTCATTGTTTTTCTGCGACTTAGGTGAGTGATGTGTGATTTTAAGGAAAACTAATATATTATCGACAAGTATTTGTTTCATATGTGTTTATTATCTAGTGGTGATTCTCCTATTCCCATACTCGAATCGGTACTTGGTAGTTATGTATTTCTCTTCTTTTGTTTTTGCTGTTTGATGTCATTTATATTTCTTTGGCGAATGGTAAATCTCTTTGTTTCTCGTATTGAACCAATGAACTAGGTTCATTTATTTTAGATGCCTGAAACGAAAAATAAGAAACTATCGGAAATCCAAACATTTTGGGAATAGATTATTCGGCTTGGTTCCTGAATATCTTCTTGAACATTTTTTTTACCAATCTAATTTCACATGCAGATTGACAATTTTTTCGCTCTCAATTCCTTTTTCTGAACGATTCTGTTGATAGTCACATTAACCGTTCGTTCATAAATTCCAACTAATAAATTAATACGTACTAGTAGAAAAGATGGTTGATGCCCAACAAGTGAAAACATAAATGCGCGATTATTGAATCACCAATACTGATTTGATAAAAGTGATGTCCGACGAAGGAAAGAAGAAATTGTGACGCATAACCGCTCCGATACGCTGACTCTGATGATAAAAGAGGAAAGCTACAGAAAGAAACAAGAGTGATAGAAGAAATCAATATCAAGGAAATTGAAGTAGTTCAATGCAGAGAAAACATTTGACACATGAAAGATTCAGTGTCTTGCAGTAGTTTTCCGGAAATTCTTTTTCTTTGCACTTTATTGAGAAAGGGACATAATGGGCATTTAGAAAAATGTA